GGACCCACAAAAATCCAAGGCCCATAATTGTTAAAGCCCATAATCAGGCCCACTAAAAGAGACCTTTGTCCTTTAGTTTCACGTGTTTTCCAAAGGATCACTTTCTCAAAAAATAATTAGTAATTCTTTTTTTGAAAAATCAATCTATATATTTATATAAAGGAGAAACATGAAGCTGCTGATGTGGCATGTCTCTAAAGCCAAGAATAACATTTATCTTTTTCTTTTTCAAATTTTTGACATTTATTTTTAATTTTTATCTTATTTTAAATTAATGTGTAACATAATCAAGTCAATGAATAGAAAAAAAAAAATGATTCTATTAATTTCAAGCTTTTACTCTATGAATAGGAAAAGACATCCGTTTACTTTCAAAACTTTTGTAACTCCTAAATCCTAATTAACAGATAGGCCTTTTGTATCCCCCTAGCCCAACTACTGCTTACCCCCATTAATTAGCATTTAAATTAATTGGTAATTAACAATTAACAATTAGAAATATAAGAAAGAGGAGATGCCACTCCCAGATTATTGTGGAAAATGAATAACAACAAAGATCAACTGCCATCAAGCTTTGAGGTATGTTTCCTGACTAGCAAATCTATCTCTTTTTTTTTTCCTTTTAAACTTATTTTTGTTATAAATCTTAAATTTTATGTAGAAGCAAATAATATTTCTATGATATATATTTAGATTGCTTTGAACGACAGTATGATTTGTAGACGATTTTCTTACATCTCACCTTTATAGAATATCAAATTTGATTATCTGAGATTTTGTTGCAATCATAAATGGATAGCTAATTGCACATGTAAGCGGACACCTTATAGTTGATCTGTCATAATTAAGAAGGTATGATATTTCATGGTAACTTTTTATACTTGTAAAAGCTTTCTAAATTGTTTAAAATATTTCATTGACTAGCTCAAGACGTCGATGCGCTACCAGATTGACCATTTTCTTATCAACATGGGAGTTGTCTTTCTATTATTCTTGTCAAATACACAGAGGTTTTATTAAAAAAAAAAATAGAAAGTAATGATACGTTTTGTTTCATTGTGATGTTGTTTATTATCTTAGGATAGTGTACGATATGCATACTTTATACACATTGAAAATTATTTATTTTTCTTTTGAAGTTACTAATCTTAATATTGTCATTCACACAGAGTTGGTGGCCACGAGAATTTTGCAAAAAAAGTGTTGTACACAACACTTTTTTATTATAGTGATTCAAGATTTCATGGCAATATAATATTATTATATACTTTCCAAAGTTCTTCTAAAACAAATTAATTTGATTACACATAATTTTCACTTTCTTATTATAGTGATTCAAGATTTCATGACAATTTATTGACTACTTTTCTTAATTTCATCTAAAAAAAATTAACTTAGGAGTATGTGGTTGCATTTATTTTTCACTTTTCGAATTCATCTAAATTTATGTTGTTCTCGCATTTTTCTATATTTACTGCATATTATGGTAAATGCTATAACTTGAAGTTTAAGTTAATTTCTTTAGATTTTGTAAGGTATTTTGTAATGTTTTTTTAAATTTATCAAGGCCATGTTAGATGTTGGCTTATGACGATAATAAATTGGTTTGTGTTTTTTGCTATGCGTTATATGAAGTTAAAATGCAAGTCATTTATTTAACATTTCGGAGAAATATCAAGATTGTTTAAATGTAAAAAAAAAGGTGAGTTTTTAGTTTTGAATTCTACTTTCAAAAGTTTGATTTATTTAGGGTAAAAAAAGAAATGTATGTGAAGAATATCATTTTTTTAAAAAAACGAAGGCACTATCCACTGATATTTTCCTTTTAATCCATTATTGTGCTATATTTTAATTAATTTCAATTAATTGTATACGGAAAAAAAATGACACCTGAATTTATTAAAGAGATCAACCAATTAACTAATGAAAATTCAATAAAAATATTCATATTTGTAAATGTAATCTAAAATAATAAAATATATATAGATAATTTATTTTTATAAAGACTAAATTTATGAAAATATATATATCTATTCACAAATATTTTAATGATCGCGCGAAGCGCGACTATGTTCACTAGTTTCATATAAAGCTTAATTTGAATGGCATTAGACAACCAACCAACCTAGTACTAACAAATTGTTTCCTAATTACATATATTATAAAATAAAACTCATCTAATCAACTATTTTGATGTCGACATTTAACCTGTAATTCTTTTTTTTTTAAATTGCACATATATTCACAATTTCACATTAATCGTGTTTGAAGTTAGGCATGACAAAATCAAACTTCGAACACATTGTTTGAAGTCACATATTGCTGAATTTCATTCATTTCTATTTGAAGTTCATGCACATGTCGCTGAAGTTCAAGCAAAAATGAATGAACTTTCAGTCATATGTGGCTAACGTTTGAACAATATTGAACAATATTAAACATTAAATAAATATATGTATATTAACATGTGAACCCCTAAAAAAATTGATTTAGAACCCTCAAACTCCTAACCTTAGCTCCGCCTCTGGTTTCTAAAGAGTTTTTCATTAAGGTCAAATATATCACATAGGATGACCAGTTGAAAAAAAAAAGGTTTTAAAATGCCGGTTTCAAAGAAAATCACGAGTGCAGTGGTCGAGATCGATGACAATTAAAAGGCTTTTCTAAGACATTAGGGTTTAGAATACTGAGATCGTTTAGTTCAATTCGTGAAAATGAAAGCTCAATAATGATCAAGAAAATAACTCAACAAAAAGCTATCACTTGGCGAATCACTAAACCAATTTGACCAACATAGTGATTTCACTAACAAGTATAATTATTCGTAGAGTTAATTTTGATATTAGTTACGATAAAGATGCACATGAAAATTAGTGGCGGACTCACCCTTACTCAAGAGGTGTCAAGCGATAGTACCCCTTTGTCAAAAAATTACATTGTATATAGATAGATATATAAATATTAACATCTTTTGATATAAATTAAAGATTAGTTTAATGATTAAGGTGTTACGAAAATTCTTTAAATTCGTGTGTTCTAATGGCTGGCGAGTGGCCTTCCTTTTAAAAAAAAAAATAAAAAAAAATAGGTAATCCTACCAAGTATACAATTACTTTTAAGTGAAAATCAATATCTCAATATTTGCAAAATACTCCTAAATCTTTCTTCGATCTTCTTTTTAATTGTTTTTCTTTAAGTCGCGTCAATAATTAGTGTTTGCTATTTTAAAATATCTTCATGGGATTTCATTTAATATTTCTAAATAAAATTAATGATCGTGAAATCACTCGATGAATATGGTGTAATTTGTTTCAAACATAGACTCTCTCCCTCTCTCCTTGTGTATTATGAATATCTCAATTTTTAAAAATTAGAATGTTGAACAACAAGGCAAACATGCATATGATATGTATTTATGATAAATCACTATAGTTTTAAAAAATTACAATTTATAGCTATACGTAGAGTTTTATAGCAAACTTCTCTCTTCTCTCTCTTTCTCCTCTCTCCTCTCTCTCACACACTCTCAGATCTGCTCGCCTCTCTACTCTCTCTCAGATCGGCTCGCCTCTCTCCTCTCTCTCAGATCTGCTCGCCTCTCTCCTCACTCTCCTAGTCTCGCTTGTCTCTCTCCTTTCCTAACATGTAAATTGTAATTATAATTTATAATTAAACAAACTATAGCTATAGATCCTAATTAAGTTCAAACTATAATATTTTTAAAAGTTGTCCTTTAAAAATAAATAGGTTTAATACGTTGTTAAATAGGGTTAAAATTCTTTTAAAAAAAACTAGAAAGTCCTATATTATACTTTTCGTCCTCTTTTCTCTCTCATTCACTCCCTCAATTCATAGCAAAAATGGTGAAAGTAACTCGAAGCAAAGAAAAAAAGGTACCACCTTTGCCAACTAATTGTTGCTTTTTGTCAAACCATATTTTAATTCGTTTACACAAAAGTTAACCAATGAACTTTTTTTTTATAAACTCACAATACTATTTTTGTTCTATGTTTCTCCATACCCCACTTGTTCGATTAGACTGAGTATATTGTTGTCTATGTTATTCAATGATGGCTAGATCTAGATTAATCAAAGTCGTGTATGTTAATCTCTTGGATGCACACTAGGTATGTTGTTGTATTCTAGTACAATTTGTTTGTTTGGTTTTGAACTTGACCTAGAATTCAAGAAATATAGACACTGTTAAATCTTGTGGTCTTAAATTACGGATATGTATAAGATGTCCTTTTAGTTAGAATCAAAAAGTTACCTAGGTCGACCTCGTGGCACTTAGTGCGGGGTTACTTCTCTTATGTGGTTTCCTTCTATTGCATTGGAGTAACAACTATCAACTAGTTTGAAAAGTTCTTCCATTTAGTAATGGAAGTCATCCATTATCACTTTCTAAGGGTATGGTAGAGAGGCTTGAGAAGGTGGACAAGGTTTTACGCTGTACGGCTGCAGATTTTCCTTGTCATAAAACAAATTAAAGAAAAAAAGAATGAGTATGAAAAAAATAAAGAGACATTCTTGGATTGGAAATTGACTAAAAAGGAAAAAATAAGACAAAACAAATTGATCTTTTTCCTTTTATGCATTCCAAATTTCTATAAAATACTGATAATGAGTAGTCAATATTGGTGTATTGATATTTGATTGACGGATTATTTTCTGATAGACAAAGTTACTTGAAGCAATGTTATTAAAGGCGTGCTCAAGTCTTGAAGCGTAGGTTCTAGGTTTCACGAATGAACTTTGTCTTTAAAAGCACAACCCTTGACAACAAAGTGATATATTAATGTTATGAGTCCATGCTTTAGTTGGCACTCTTCTGTGTTTTTTGGCTTTTAACTATATGGGTGAGAAGTATGCCATGTTGCATCCCAACATAGAATTAAAATCATTAAGATATTTATTTGCGACATCCATTGCAGCCTAACAATAAGAAGAAAATATCAATACGAAGGAGGAAGAAATGTAGCAGTATCGTCATAAAGGAGGAGAATGAGAACGGGAATAGTAGTGAATTTAATAAGCTATCTGGTGATGTGTTAACTTGTATTTTTCTAAAATGCACGGTGAAAACATTATCCATCTCAAGGTGTGTATCCAAGTCATGGAATGATTGTATTATTAGTCCCCTGTTCGTATGTTCTCATCAAAAACAACAGTTGATGGAAAATGCCCCCCAACTTCTTTTTGTGAAAACATTCCGTTATTTGCGACGGTCAGGTAAGTTGAAACTGCAATTTATTTCACTTGACATGGAAGGAAGAAATGAGGATTTGTACACAATCACTCACTATCCTGATAGACAAATCCATTCTAGCCGCTGGACTGTAAGTGCTGGTTTGGTTTGCCTTTCAACAGATTGTTGTATTTATTTGTGCAATCCCGCCATCCATCAATTACGTGAATTGCCCGACTGTTCACCTTCTGCTATCCCTGGATATGAACATTTTGGTTTTGGATATCTTCATTCAAAGAAGGAATACAAAGTGGTGCGTTTTTTCTATATGGGTCCCCCCGGTACTCTTCCTGTTGATGTTGTCCTTGCACAGCTAAGATGTGAAGTTTTTACTCTAAATAGTTGGGGCATTTTGAATAGTAGATGGAAAGAAATCGCGGAGCAACCTCCATATCATCCGGTTTTTCCCGGGGTGTTAGTTAATGAATGTATGTATTGGTTGGCAAAGGATAAAGTAGTTTACTATGGCCAACCTCGAGTTATGTCATTTGAATTTGAAAATGAAAAATTTATATCTATATGTTGCCCATCAGCTTTTGTTGATTTTCAGGGATTGGATTTGATGGATTTGAAAGGGACGGTCTGCCTACCAGACTATGCTAACTTTCTCAAGAGTTCAATTCTAGACTTGTGGATACTGAAAGATAAGGTAAGTTGCAGTTGGGCGAAGGAGTATAGTATCAATTTGGGGGTAAGGTTCGACCCTGAGGAATTAGGTTGTTTTTACAGCTCATGGAATGAAGAAATAATATTCCGTCAACAATTGGGGGTGATGATGGTCGTCTTCTTCTATGACATAAAAACAAAATGCTTTAGACAAGTCGAAATACATGGGAGAGGACCGTATCATATATACTGGAAAACTTTGTTCTCTTTAGATTCGTAAGTCCCTTTCAAGTAGTATTTCTCTTACCATTCTATATGTTCAAACTCATATTTTCTTTGTTAAATGCAATTGCAATTTTCTTTTGTTTCATGTGATGATGTTGTAACCCATGTCAACTTTTTGTTGATTAAGGCAATTACATTATTACTCTACTATTTCTATTTGTAATAAGAGTTTTTCATTATGAGTGCATTGGTGACATTTAAAAGGATTTTCGAAGCCATGGGGGTTTAAAATATGGAGCTTTCATTCATTTAGTTTGAAGAAAGTGCGATTGTTTAGTCCAATTTGTAAAAATGAAGGCTCAATGATGATCAAGAAAATGGTCCAACAAGCTACCACTTGACAATTCACTATACTAATTTTGCGTCTCAAAATGTCTCGATATATCACAAAATGCCTCAATACATTGCATTTCGATTGTTGCATCTCGGTTTTAAATACATCACTTAACGTGTGAATACAGCACATAAAGTGATATGATGTATTCGATTGATACATCGCGTAAAGTGATGTATCTGAGAATAGGAGAGAGTAGAGATTTTTGTAATTTTTTCAAATTGTAGAAATTTTTAGGAAATATGGTAAAATAAGTTGTGTATCTAGAGTGTTTTTTTTTTCCATTTGTTCATACTTTATTACCTAACATAATTACTTGATATTTGTGTTGATCAAGATAACAAATCGAGATATGCATAAATCGATTTGAATATAGTAGACTCTTAAATTTGTTATTTAATCAACTAATACATAAGCGTGTTTTTTGACTTAGCCTCAGCAACTTCAACTAATACGTCATACATAACAAAATAGTGTAAGATTTAAATTGTCAAAGCTAAATTAGGTAGAACACTATGTACAATATCATGTAGATTTAATTTGTCAAATGCTAAATTAGATGACACGTTCATGTATTATGCCTAATTTGTACTTTCTTTTGTGACTCCTCAAAATCTTTAGCCGCTTTTAAAACCTCAAAAACCCTTTTACCCATTTCCTCTGTAATTGCTCCCAAACAGAGAGAAAAAAAAAGTCATGAATCTCTTCAAATCGAAACAATCATCATCTTCTCCAGCAGCACCACCACACCTACAGCTCCAACAAACCTTCAAGAATCTGCAGACCCATTTCACCAATTTCCTTCAAACCACTATTCCCCAACTCAACACCCTTAATTCTTCTCAAAATTCACCTCTATGGGCTAAAATTGGTGTAAAAAAGCAATCTTTATCTACTGAAACAATCGAAGAGCGGTTGGGTGGAGTACCTGTGTATGCCCTTAGCAATGCTTCTCAAGAATTCGTGTTGGTTTCGGGCGTTAGTACTGGGAAAAGTTTGGGGTTGTTTTGCTTTAGTGAAGCTGATGCTGAAGCACTTCGTCAGCAGATGGAATCAATGGACCCCTCTATGCGAAACGGCTCTCGGGTTGTTCCTGTTGCTCTCAACAAGGTTAGCTTCAATTTGCTGTTGTTGTGTATTGGGATGTGATTATTGTGTTATGTTTTAGCTGTGCTGGACTGACAGCTTGTTGGGGGTAAGGGAGGGGATTACAAGAAGGGAAATTGAATGGTGAAAATTCGTTTAGTTAATCAATTGAGCTATTAAGATTGTTCGTTGTTAGTTTATATACAATGTTTGCTTTGGTTGTTGTTTAAATTTTTATAGGGTAATTCTCCTAAAGCATAGGAGAAACACCTAGTGTTTTTCTTGCCTATGCTCGGACTTGAACTTGAGACCTCTCAGTTCTTGTCTCACTTCATTGACCACGAGGACAACATTATTAGTCAAAAGTGAGTAGGATGAGGACTGCGCTAGTAACTGTCTTTTGATTGTCCAAGGCTGATAGTTGGATTCTTGATTGCAGAAGAAAATCTTTATTCTGTCTAATTGATGGTCAATGATGCAGGTTTTCCAGCTCAAAGTTGATGGAGTTGCTTTCAGGTTGATACCGGAGGCATCTCAAGTAAAGAATGCAATAAAGGTGCATATCTAGCCATACTAAATTTTGTAATTTTGTTGTAGACTAAGCGTGTTCTTAAATCTATAAGAAAGTTGATGAGTACTCATGCCGTCATAGTGGTGTCTCGAGAATTTGATACTGGTTTGCTTGTCTACCTTAAAGAAGTGTTGTTTTTACGTCAATCAATTTCTTTTGTTCTTAATAAAAAAGGGTTACTAGCTTTGGGGTTCTCCATTAATCTATTATAGAAGACTATCATCGTTTCGGGGTTCATGATTATTGCAAAGTATTCCAAAGTTTTCGACTATCTAAGTTCTGAAATGTACTTCATGTACAATAAGTAGGAGAAACTTTTGCCTGAAGGACTTTTTGCTTGACACTAAATCCGAAAGTTTGTGGCACTTCAGATGAGTATTAAAATGTTATCCTTCTTAAGGATAAATTTGTAATAGACAGACGGTGCTTTTGGATTAAAGTGGATGAAAAGATAGTTGTTGCTCAGTAAGTTTCTTTATACCTAACAAAGATTAGGTATATACCAGTTGTGGACCAAAACATAGTATCATGACATAAAATCGGTCCGTCAAATGGTAGGAGACCTCATTTTGAAGTGATATTGTTGTGAGGATAATGCCAAAAATGGTTTTGTGCATAGAATTTTAGTCAGCATGTTTAATATATCATTTTGTGCACCATTAGTTTTCCTTCTATAATCTAAAGTTGATTGTATTCTACTGCCTTTTTTAACTAGGAAAGGGAAAGGACTGGAACGACTGATGAGAGCTTTTATGGTGTTCCAGTTTTTCAGGTACGTGTTCAGCTATAATTGATATTTATAGCTACACGGAAATGCTCATCTGCCTTAACAATTGTGCTTACTTCTATGTCCTGTGTTTTGCTCGCTTCATCTGCTTTAAATGAAATATGATCTTAACTAGGATGACTATGTCAGTTGCAGTGTTGTCAAAGGCACACTTAAGGCCTGAAGCAAGGTGCAAAACATATTGAGTGTTTCACCTTACTTAGTAGGCGCTTCAGTGTCACCATCAAGACTCTAAGGCATACTTCTCCTTTTCATTGAGAGCGTAATCCTGAAAAGGTGTAACAATTTATATTTCACTTTATTGCAACCCTTTTTTCAATTTCACTTTGCGCTTAAAGCCCCAACCGATCTTAGATGCTGTTTTACGCTTTTCGCCTTTTGATAACTTTGATCTGTTGATGAGGAAGAGGACCCCATAGACACAATACCGATACAGTCAATTGATGCACTTCACTGATCTGCAGATGGAATTGCCTTCTCTTTTACTTGTAGCCAAAGAACTGATAGATTAATCAGGGAAACATCCGGTACCTTCAAACCTGGACAAGACCCAATCTGTTTTAAATCTCTGTGTTGTATTAAATGCCCAAAGTGATTAACGTAAAAAGAAGAATTAATCCACTCAAAATGCTGTATTTTTAACAACTTAGCATTGCTCTTTTTCACCGTCTTGGATGCTGCTATCCTTTGACTCCTCACGCCTGTATAGCATGATGCAAATTTAACTTTAGAACATATGAAGGTGTTCTGATGTTTCACAGTTTGCTTAAATCTAATCAGTTAAAAAAATGGTGTCAAATGTTAGTTGAAAGTTGTTTCGGTGTTGGATTAGTTTGGAACCATACCAAAATGTACTCAGAAATATGTCCTATTGCTCGTTGAAGTTGGAATGAAGACTATGGAAGACCATGTATCCAATCATAGCAAAGTAAAAAAAGTTTAGGTGATTTCTTCCCATTTATCGATGTTTTGGCGGGTAGAGTAATCCGATACTTGTACTGGTAGGATCCAGTGGACTTGTCGAGGTGCGTGCAACTTGTTGCGGACACTGCCTTTAAAAAAAAGAAAAAGAAATAAGTTGCATGCCAACAACAACAACAACATACCCAGTGAAATCCCACTAGGTGGGGTCTGGGGAGGGTAAAGTGTACGCAGACCTTACCACTACCTCGTGGAGGTAGAGAGGCTGTTTCCGGAAGACCCTCAGCTCAAGTGTAACAAAGCCAAGTAAAGGAAGAGAATTATATAAAGCATAACATCCAATAAGAAAAATAGTGCATAATCAACAAAGGGGGCAATACATCAAGAAAATAATGTGAGAAGTGAAACGCAGTAAACAACATAAGGCTATAGGAATCACAGACAAGAACTACAAGTGTAAGGCTAAGACTACTACAAACGCTAACAACCCATACCCTCACCAGGAAAGACAACACGCTAACCCTACTAGCCTTCAACCTTAATACGTGACCTCCACTCCTTCCTATCTAGAGTCATGTCCTCGGTAATGTGTAGCTGGGCCAAGTCCTGTCTAATCACCTCTCCCCAATACTTCTTGGGCCTACCTCTACCCCTCCGCGTACCCTCTACTACCAGCCCCTCGCACCTCCTCACTGGGGCGTCTGCGCCCCGTCTCTTCACATGTCCAAACCATCTCAGTCTCGCTTCCCTCAGCTTGTCCACCACAGAGGCCACTCCCACCTTCTCCCGGATAACCTCATTCCTAATCTTATCGCTCCTAGTGTGCCCACACATCCATCTCAACATCCTCATCTCCGCAACATGCATTTTCTGAACATGTGAGTTCTTGACTGGCCAACACTCCGCTCCATACAACAAGGACGGTCTAACTACCACTCTGTAGAACTTACCTTTAAGTTT